TTTTGAAATTGATTAATTCTTTTAATATCTAACATAATGCGTTGGGGCTACATACATTTTTAGGCTATTTTCTTTGGTCGTGGTCCAATTTTGCACCAGTTCCATACAACCTACTACCTACATAACAACCGTTTTGAGTCCGTACACTTGTGATATAGGTACATATTCGATAAAAATAATAGTGATAATAATAATTGTTCTATCTCAGTACAAATTGCCAACAAAAAAATTTAAAAGTAATCGATTAACGGACGAATAAAAATATTATATTATCGGTACACGTTTTATTTAAACGTCTACACGAAGATAACTGCAATCTTAGGCTGTGATAACATAATATTATGATTGTGCGCATCGACGCCGTTATGACAGTGTGATTATTCACATACACAAATACAAGGTCCCAATGTGTGCAATAAGCCTAACTAGTTTCAGTCATTCAGATTCATTCATCGTCGGCACGCGCGTCGACTCCGAATACCGTCCGTGTACCTGTCGGTCGACTAACTGTTACTTGTATCGTAGGTGAATATAAAATATTATATGTTATATTCGTAAAAGAAAATGGTTGCCCGCGTTCAAATTATAAATATATTATAATATTAAAAAATAGTCCCTGTAATTGATTGCCTTATATGTGTAAAAGGACTTCCGTTTAAACGTCGTTTTCTGTGTAAAACCAATGACGTGAATTGAAATGTAAGTACTCACCTGCTATTATATTATATGGATATTTTTCTCATAAACAAATACCAAACATTATTTATTTTGGATATAATGCTTGTGTTGTGAGCACAATCTTATTTTAATACGAATTGTATTTTACAGCTCGGTCTATTCAGAACCATAAACACGATAATATAATATTGTGTAAAAGCTAAAACAGTATAGGTAGAATACCTACATGGCAATAAAATAATATTAAAATGTATAGAATTTATTCTTTCCGATAATATAAGCTTAAATTTAATCTACAATTACAAATTTCGCAAGAGACTATAATAATATGTCCCCGTAGTTAATTCAAACACATAATTTACGATACAACTGTTCAAATTTATGTTAAATAAAATTGTATTTTGTGCAATTACACTAAGCTTACAAGTTACAGTCAACATTTATCAAACGCAGTTTGGTTATTATTTTCTATTAGTATTGCTACTTGCACTTTGCAGAGTTTCAGACCGTTTGAATGTCATTACTTTCGATATTCGTCCTCTAAAATTACGATTTGAATACAAGTAAAGACAAACCATGCAAAACAACCACAGACGTTTTTCAAAGTATACAAATTAAAGTGGCTCACTAATGCCATGTTCATAATTTCTGTTTAGTATTCGTAAAAAACGAAGTTATTGTTTGAAAATACTAAAAAGCGGCACCCAGACGTCGAATATAATTATTAAAATAGTATTAGACATTCTATTCGAATGTGGAATGTGGATAGTAATGGGTTCTAGACTCTTGTGATGATATTGATCGACGTATGTTAATTATATTGTAAAAACAGAAAATAATAATAAAAGCTATAGCCTATAATTGTTGATTATTGGGTGTATAATATTATAAGTAATAAGATTTACGTAGACAATTTTAAATTAACATAATAATAAAATAAATGACTAAATAGTAATTAGGTATATCAACGATAAATTAAACACATTTTCAGTTCTGACAAAATTACAATATCCAAAGTCCATGTACCTACTTGCTCGTTATGTTTATTACATTAATCATTATCTTGTCATTTTTTTATTTCCTCAGTAAATTACTTCTAGACCGGCAAGGCGGCAACTATCTTTTAGATAATTTATTAACTATTAAGTATGCGTAGGTACCTACAGTATTTTGTTATAATAAAACTGGTATATAAACAATATGGTTTAAACACAACGAAGGTGTGTCTGTTTATGCTACAATATCATAATATGCATTGTGATGTAGGATAAAATAAATATTAATTTTGTGTATCAACTGTTATAACTTATAAGCACTAAATAAACATCTTCAAAAAATTAAAATTTTTTTTAATTTAAAACATTTTCATTACCTTCTTTGGCTCTGTAAAGAAACCTAAATGTTCCTACAATAGTGGTTTTTTCATTTCCATTTCAATAACTTACTAGAAGCAAACAATTCTACGTTAAAGGTATAAATCAGCATCAAACACAGGTTAGTTTTATTTTAATTCTAACAAAACCACCAGCTTAATAATTTATTTTAATTTTACGGCTATCTTTCGTCCTAATCTTACTTGTTTTTTAATGATTTATTGTATTCTATTTATTGTTTTTGTAATTACTTTTTTTTGAATTTCTTATTCTTAATACGAATACTGTTTGTTATAAATTATTGAACATCTCACAGAATAAATAAACAAAACATTTCTATATTCTATCTCACATACTTGTAGAGGTCTGGAAACTTCCTACTTGAAAAGTGGTAAGTTAACGGTTACATTATATCCATAATCCATGTAAATTCCTGCACGAAAAAATACTCACACATTTAAGTTTCTACACAACGAAAATACGTCACTTATGTAAATTCTTCCACAGAAGTCGAAGGGTCCGACCGTTGTATTTTCAATTGTTTAAAATTTGATGATATTTTATTCTTATATCAAATAAACACGATGTATTATTTTTAACCAAAAACTTCTGCTTTTCACAATTATTTACGGTGCATTAAATTTTACCCTAAATTACGATAAATTAGACGATTATTTTAGGTATAACTATATCGTTTGAACTATATTCAATGGAACTTTTATATTCAAAATATGTTTAAAAATATTTTATATTTTAATGTTGTAAACATACCATTAGCTCACACTGTTAGTTTTTCATTAACCGTTAACTTTAGAAAGTAGAAAAAAAAATTAACAATAATAAATATCGAAATACGTATGTTGCAGCAATACAATGACACGAAACATTGGAGGCAATATATGTACCGTTTTTACTGGTACAGGAAACCGTAATTATAATTACAGACCGGTATTCAGCGATTAATTTCCGGACCCAACGATCGAGGCCATTTAGGCGGCACGTACCACATAATTATATTGTATTTGTGTTATAATTATTCTCAAACGTATACCTAAAATACCTATAATGCAATTTGATGCACTGGACTTCCAATTCATTAGATTAATAATTTCATTGAATTGCGTTTAAATCATTCTATTTTACGGCTGTACATACAATTTAAAGGCGGATGTGTACTTAGATTTCACGAGTTTTAATTTCAAACACGGTCGGTCATTAATTTGAAATGAAAATTTAATTAAACACAAAAATGTCTAACGCGGTCTGCAGATGAATAAGGTTAGGTACATTATACCAAGTGATCCATTTAAGGCAGACACTCATTATTTCAAAAACTATTAACGTTGAACATAATAATATATATTTACTAAATATTTAGTGTTTAAAAAACAAAATGTTCTAAAAAATATATATTTTACTATTTTTATTGTTATAATTTTTTTTTATTTTACTTTTTTAATGACAACATATATTTAGAGCACCTTATGATTTATTAGTATTTAAAGTTCAGTAGATCTATGGAGTGGTTACAAGGGTACCCAGAAAAATGTTGGTTTGTGTTGCAAAAAGTTTAGATTTCTAAACAACACATAATATCACATAATATTATATTATGACATTGTAATTGGATTGTACCTACAGGCTAAAAGAGTCATTCTTTCTCAAATAGTTAAATCCTATTCTCTGAGTAATGAGTATGCAAAAATAAATGAATAATAATGAAACGTAATAAGTCTGCGTAGGTGTAATAATTTAAATTTGTATCGAGGTCGGTATACCCGTTTAATACGGATAAACGTCGAATAATCGTCTTTTATCCAGTCAGGTATAGTGTTGTAAATGAGAGTACCTATTTAATAACTCGATCTAGGGGCTTATTAAAATGTATAAACATAATCGATATGACCCCACTTATTGGCACGCGAGATTATCTACAGCCACCTGCGTTATATTCTAGTCACAGTTTTGGCAGTGTTAGCCGTTGCTCCAATAAAATCTATCCATGTTTTTATTTAAAACTAATTGAGTAAATTCCTTAAAACACCTATTATACTTACATGGATCAATATAATATAATACAAGAATAATTATTACAAAATATATATTTCACAGTCAGTGGCGTAGACATGATTTCTGAAAGGGGGATCAAAAAAATATATCTAAATGGGAGGGGGAAATTGGAAAATCCTCCACCCTCTCAAAACTTTTTACTAAGGTAATAAAATGCCAATGGGGGATCTGACCCCCTCGCCCCCCTTGTATACGCCCCTGTTCACTGTAATTAATAAAAAAATTAAGCAAAACAAAATGAACCATGGTTGATGATATTGAGTTTTCACAATTTACAGTTTTTCATAGTAAAATGTATTGTATTTATTTGAACATCAATAATATATCATCTTGATCATTGAGTAATGGAAAAATTAAATTAATTTTAAGTTATATATATATATATATATATATATATATTATTATAATATGACATGTTATCTTTGTAATCGCCGGTTATGCAAAGAGTTTATTTGCCCAACACTGCTGCAGTTTCAGCCACGATGATCTACATCTGTCAGGGGAAGAGGGGACAGAGTTAACCTCCGCATACCTCGCGAGTCAAATCGTATCTTGTCTCGAGTAGGCGTCGCGCCACTGATAACGATGCTTGTTGGTGTAGGTTTCTTGTTTAAAAAATATGTATACTGAATTTTTTTAACAAACAGTTTTAAGCGGTTCGCGCTTTGTGTACAATCTAATAAAAAGTGATATTCTTTATTGATCTCTCCTTTTACTGCGGATATTATTTGTGTCTTAGGTTAAATCCACGACGAACCGTGCACCCTAAGGCCAAATTATTATAACTTCCTACTTCAATACACATTTATGTGGAGTGGTTTTCGGATTTTTTCCAAATAGTACAGTTCGACTGACTGAGATATAGCACCCGAACACAATATGGACTTGGACAACACATCTCCACCGTCGTCGTCGAGACTTCCGCCTCCTTCTACAACACCGTCGATGCAGGTGACCAACAGGGTCAAGCGGCCAAACTTGTTGCACCTGTCCAATACCGGATATAACGGCAGCGTCGATAACAGTCACAACGCCGACCAAAGCGACGCCCTTCTGCAATCTCCGCTGGCCCCCAACCCCGACGCAGCCGCCGCCAATGTCGACTTCCCTGCAATCCTGTCCAACGGACAACCAGTCACGATTTCAGTAACTAAACACAAGTACGAGGCCACAATTAATAATTACTGTTTTTATACGTTTTGTTCGTAACGATTTTTTTATTTTTGTAACTTTAAATTTTAAACCAAAATATAAGTTTGCTAATTTTTGAATTTACTCATATACGTTATTTTGTGGACATATTTTGATTTTTGTTTACAGTTAGATTTTAATTAAAAGTTGTTTTAATAATTTATACAACATTATAGTCCATAATAGTCCATAAAATCAGAAATATTATCTTCTAAATTGTGGTAAGTATATTTAAAAGTTTATAAAGCTAGTTCTTTTAGAATTTCCAAGAAACTAACTGTCCCCAAAAATCAAAACTCATCAATAAAATAAGATTATATAATATTCATCAGCAAAATTATGATATACTAAAAAATGAAGCAAGTGTTTTTTTTTAAGTCTTACAAATACTTTTTGATTCGTGAAGAAAATATATTGCCCACAAAAATTAAAACTACTTTGAAAAATTAATCTGTGAAATAACGTAAATGAGAAAAGTCATAAATTGGCAAATGTACACGCTGGTGAAATGCAGCATAATTTGAAGCCAGTCGAATACATCATAAAGTACACAAACCCTATTACCTACGTTAATGTATTATTGTTAGAGAAAAGCTGCGAAATAAAAGGCCAAACGTCGATAGATCAAATCGGTTGAAAGGACACTGATAATATGTTTATTCTTAAATTTGATAGCTGATATACTTAATATTATGTAATGCAGCTGAACAGTATTACACAGGTGAGACTCATCTTTAAAGTTCAGATGTTAAATAGTGTGTAAACGTCTTATTTTGAATTTAGTTCATATATTTTTATTGACCCAAACACTATTTTTCATCACACTTTATAATATTATTATATTCCAATTGAATATAGTACTATAGGTAGAGTATAGGATTAGGTATAGGATTAAAAATAATTAAGAACAGCAAATCAGAAATTAATAATTATATTATAACACGAGTGATTTAATAATTTTAAATTTTAACACTATTACACTATAATTGTATGAATATTGAATATAAACTTTTAAATATCCAGTACCTAAATTTACTGATATTTTGGGTTGGCAATCATCACGAGGATATCAGATTAAAATCTAGAAGTGCTACGATCATTTAAAATATATAATATGATAAAAACCAGGTGTGTCCTTATGTACGTAGATTTATACTTATTTGTAGGCACTTATACTTGAGCACATGAATTATTATTATTATTATTAATTTGTTAAAAACTGTTCGTCCAAAGTAGGTATACCGATTATTTTTAATAGAAGACTAAGACATTTATAATGATAATTATTATTTAGTCGTAAATGTTATCTCTAATACATATGTAGAGTTAATAGTTGTACTAAATCCATTTAAAATGTTTTTATAGTACAACCACATCAATTATTCCTATATAGTAATAAACATATTATTATTATACATAATTATTATGTCTATGTTTAGAATTTTAGATGTTCAATAATTACGAAACAAATAGTTTTAATTGACGATGCACCAAAAATAATTTCCACGGTAGTAAACCTATATCGTCGGCCTAATTCGCAAAGGTCGTATGTCCAAAATTACAAATTGTTCAGGAGAAGAAAAAAACATTTTACGGCCATATTATTAATTGGAGATACGACGATTTCTAATTATCAATTTCATGGAGGATAATATTATGAAATCGGAAATTTGATTGTATCAACAGACGCAGTTTTTTTTTTTTTATTTTATGAGTAAATAATCCCAAAATGACAAAAAATGGAGATACGACTTTTGCGAATTAGGCCGACGATATGGAGGTATACAAGAAGAAATATTTAATATTTACCTATTGCTTTTTTTTAAATAATATTTGTCTCATAAGTATCCTATATGCAGCATTTAACTTACGATATGAATTAAAACAAATAATAAATCATTGAAACCTGCAATACTAACATTAATTTATGATTTTTTTATATAATGAATATTAATTGGAATATTATTTAATTTCTAAGAATTATATTCGTTATAATTTCATTAAGTAATCAAAGGTCTTCTGAACTCTAACGGGGATGACACTACATTCTGCGAGACATGTCTTTTTTATTCATGAGATACATTATAGTATCACACAAACTTACTGTTTTTGTAAATCTTAACAGATTGTAAAGTAAAAAGTTAAAAATAATTCAGTGAAAAATAACAGCTTTAAAAGCTTATATGGAATTTAAATACCTGCGTAATTAAGTTATTACATTTTTATAAAAGAATCTTCTATTTTTCTATATTTGTTTTTTTTTTTAATACTTACATGTTTTTAAAATACATAAAAAAAGATCATTTTTCTTATCAATGTCTAATCTAATTGTTACAGTCTACCATTATAGGCACAAAATTAGCATATTGTTGTAACAATATTTTCGATATCATCTGGTATTAATCATTGCAATAATCACAAGAAAATAAATACTATAATCATCTTTTAGCACAGTTTTAACGTTATCATATTAAATATAATAATTATAATTCCAATAATTATTTTAATTATTATTACTACAATGTGAGAATCGGCCTAGTTTATAAATTAAATTGGCAAAAATTTAAAAAAAATTGTAAAACGTGATAATATCAGAAAGACGTATGAAACTCAGATTCTGAGCAAATAAATCACTATGGCACCGATAATTCGCTTATCGTTTTAACCAGTTAAACAAACCAGATCGATTATAACGGTACATTAATATTTTATCTGTACGACTAATATTTTTATTATTATGTTATAAGTGTAAATCATAAAACCTAAATCAATGAGTTAGATCCCTTGACTATATAATATTTTGTATGTTGAAAGTCCACATAAAGTAAAGTGTATGGTTGTAATTTGATACGATCTTTAAATAACGACGAATAAATTATAAAGAAAAGTATACAATTTTCAATTTTGTTATTTTTAATTTGTTGGATTTAAGGATCACTTGTTATGAAACTGTCTCAAACCGATATTTTTTTTTTCTAGAAGGAAGGCCTCAACATCACAGGTCATTATTATCCTAGTTTAAATTTAAATATATAAAAAAAAATTTGTTTATGAGTTTAGTTTTCGTTAAAAAAGTAATTATTTTATTGATATTGTTTTCTTTGAGTGCTTTTTCAATATTCGGAGGTATTGCTAGAATGTTTCTTATGCCCCGGTACTTCGTGCAATCTATAGGATGACGTATTTAACTGAAAGGTCGGAGTGGCATTCGTCCCTAGTGGGTGGAGGATTTTTGCTGATGTGGAAAGAACCGATAAATGTTACGTCGTAATAAATAATTTTTAGATTGTGCACAATGATCAATCGTTAGTTTTAAATTTAAAATCAAAATATAATATAATCTATTTTATATCTCATGTATAATATTATCTTATATTGAACTTCGGCTATGTGCTTTAAACATATTATTTGTATACTCGCGTGTGTGGTGTAGGTAGATGTTATGAAATTATATGCTATTCTGCTATAATAACATTTTCACTCTCGTTATCTTTTTCTTCCAGCCAATATAAGATTGAAAAATATTATTTTTTTTTTTAAATTTCAAAATGATAAATTCATTTTACTACATATTTAAATTAAAAACAACATAGACTAATAGGTTTTATTCGATTTAATGTAATTATTAAACAATTAAACTGTGATATTTAGAAATATTAATATTATAATGCGAGCAATCTACGATATTATTTATTAATTTGTTGACCAATGAAGTCACGGCGATATATCTTATATAATTTCGTAATGACCACATACATTAATCTATCATATCATATTCAAAACACTGTTAGTTTTCAGATAGACATGTATGGTGAATACTGTGCAGTGTTCATAATAATATTCTCAACGTAATAAATAGCGCGCTCGTGTTATGTGTGGCAATATTTTCAGGAAATACAACTGTTTTAGCTGCGACAATCCCGATGATAGGTGTGATCGATATTCCACGATAATATTGAATATTATAATACAGTGAAACTTCCATTTTTCGAAGTCTCGTGGGCAACGAAAAAAATTCGTATTCTAGAGAATTAAATTCTTTAAATATATGATTAAATTAATTTGATTCTAATTTGGTTTGGTTCCCAAAAATATTTCGTTAAACGGAAAATTTCGTTAAATGAACATTCGTTCTATAAAAGTTTCACTGTATTATAACAAGCTCATTAATATTGAACATAATATATAGATGCGGCATTCCATATAGATCTGTAAGCCAACACAACCATCGATACCATTGTTGACCGCAACACCGTTGCATTTCTTTTCATTCGACTTGTTTAAATGTCAGTTTGTCTATCGCTCATCGCAGTTTGACCCTACGTTAAGTGAATATAGGAATGCCGGAACCATAATATAATATGCTGCAGTTTAATATCAACGATCCGAATATAAAATAACGATGACATTTTTTACCTGCGTAAATTATTGTGACCAAATTATCATATTGATTTATAATCGTCCGAAATCGCGACATTGTTGTTTCAGTACGAGAAAGTCGCATCTGTCGTCGCCGTCGGTGTACAGGAAGGCCAAACGGAGGGCGCTGTACAAGAATGGCGAGTGCAACATCGTCCTGGAAAACGTGTCGAAACTTCGGCGGCGGTACATGCAAGACCTGTTCACCACACTGGTGGACGCGAGATGGCGATGGACCCTGTGCGTGTTCGTCATGAGTTTCCTGCTCAGTTGGCTCGCTTTCGGCATCATCTGGTACCTGATCGCCTTCACTCACGGCGACCTCACCCCCGAGAACATCGACAACCCGTCTTGGTCGCCGTGCGTGATCAACATGAAAACGTTTATAGCCAGTTTCTTGTTCAGCGTGGAGACGCAGCACACCACGGGGTTCGGTTACCGCATGGTCACGGAAGAATGTCACGAGGCCATAGTGTTTTTCTGTTTCCAGAGCATCGCCGGTTTGATGATCCAAGTAAGTTATCGCTTTTAAACGATCCGTTTGGCATTTTGGCGCATCAATAACCGTCACGGTTTCGATTTTTGATTTTATACATATACCTAGGTACGTTATGATAATATTATTGTCATTGATGTTTAGTGATTTTGAGTTTTTGATAAAAATAAAATTAGATTTCGGTTAAACTTTGTATTTACAAATTTTGTTTGGATGAAAACAACAAACTAAGTACGATGACCCAGATCCGTGGACTCAAAACCAAAAGGCCCAATCTCAAAATAACATTTTTTTCAGGAGAAGAATATTTTAAACATCAAACTGTTAAATACTCATACGTTATGATTTTGAATGATTGTCAAACCTGAATATTAAATAGAGAGATACCTTCTGGTTATGAATATAAACAATATATTAATTTTTCTCTTAGTTAGTAATATTTTATTCTGAATTAAATTTATATTTCTCGAGAAACAAAATTACTAAATTTTCAATAATTAATAATTAATATTTATTGTACTAACATATTATTATTATTGCATAATTTACATAATTATTATGAGATAGCACTTTTTGGTACCTAATCATTAATTTTATTTACTTTAATGTACCTATAGATAGAACCTATATGTTTTAATTTTTTAATTAAGAGCCAAAAGATTCTATTATAATTAGATCTCATTATTAAATAATACATATGTAAATTGTGTGAAATGGAATGGTAATATAGAATAATCTTAATTTTTAATAATTCAGCTCAGTTAAAATAAAGTTATTTAGATTATTGCATTACCACCAATTGCATACCTAGAGTTTTTTCATTTTTTTTTTTTTTTTTTTAATATAATAACTTATACTGTAGGGCTTAGGTAATTGCATGTGATTATCTACTAAATAATTGGATCAAAAAATATTTTTTGGTTTTATATATCAAATAATAGGTGATTATAAGCTGAATTTTGTATGACTGTACTCTGTAGTACGTATGTATCTATATGCTCATACGTGTTTAAACAAAAAACGCATTAAATGCTATTTCATTTTACCTACGCATGAGCATGGTTATAAGATCTATATAAAAATGATATCACTTAAAATGTTATTTCACTAATTAACTGGAAAAAGCTAAGTATTACTACAATGGGCCATTAGACTATATAGTACGACCAGTGAAACTATAGAAGCTTGACCTTCGCTCGCATGGTGGTCGTTTTCGTGCAGTCCACGGGTTTCTCAATATTCCAAATGTTTATGTGAGCAGTGTCAAGCTTATTTTTCATAAAACTAATAGGTAGCCGATAAAACAGCTATGTTTCAGCTGATATATGAAGAATTTTTAATACCTAAAATAACTAAATGTACATTGTATAAAATGTTTTGTTTTTACTTTTATAACAAATTACGCGTGTTCGAAATATTATATTAAGTGGGAAAATAGTCGTAGAAAATTTGCCACCATGCTGGCGACGATCAAGCTTCTAGTTTCGATGCTCTACTGTAGTTAGTGTATTAAGTTAATTAGAGAATTAACTAATAAATATTTAATAAGTTATTAATATGGGCATAACCGCATAAGGCTGTCAATTTAATATAGTAAAAACCTTAAAAATACAATATAAAATGCACTATTAATCCCGAAAATGAATATCAACATTTAAAATATATAAAAAAAAATGAATAAGAGAAAATAAAAAAAAATATCGAAAAACATATTAAAAAAGGTGGGTAAGTGGATGTCGCTCTGCTGTACTGTAGGTTACAAATGGGTCACTGTATAATGGATGGTATTAAATTTGAATCCAATGATACAATATCATTGTATAAGAAAAACGATTCTGAGCGAAGACGGTATGTCAGTCTAGGTTTAAGACATATTATATACATATCTATGGTATTAAAAAAAAAATTGACCTATAATAAATTCCAAATTAATCATATCACAATATCCATTAGGTACTTATAACACGTTATACATCAATAACAAACCCTGATACTATCATAGATATATAATATAGTGTACTTTAGAAGTTTCAAGTACCCACGAATAGTATTATAAACTCACAACAAAATAACTAAAATAGGTATGCTAGGTTTTTGATTATGTAATTTCGTCCCAAATTTGAACTTAAAATGTCTGTAAAAAATAACTGTGCTCATATATGTTTTAGATTTTTTGGCTACAGTATGAACTATTTATGAGAATCTTTTTTTTAAATTTTCAATCCTTAGCTATAAAAACTGAACATTTTATAATTTATTAATTACGATGATTGATAATTTTCGAGATTTTGATAAATTTTGTCAAAATGCGATCTTTAAATGCTTATAAAAAAAAATGTGCCTATGTATTTTTAATATTTTTCAATTAATATTGTAACAATATATCAGGAGCCTTGTATTAATTTTTCACACTTTTTGGCCCAACAGATAAAACTTTATTAATATTTATAGAAAAAAAAAACTAAAAAAATTGAAAACTGAAAATGTCCGTAAACGGCTCAAAAAGAGTCAAAATATTTTCAAAATTGTATGGTGTATAGGAAATGCTAATATAAACATTCAGTGAAATTTTCATGTATCTACAGTTATTCGTTTTTGAATTACAACAAAATAAGGAAATCGCCACATGAGAAATCGAGTGAATATCCAATGTTGTAAAAATTTGAATTTCAAACGCTCATAAAAATTTAATTTGACTTTCTTATAGAATTTTTTTTTTTGATAAATGTAGGAAATCTCATAAGAAATCTTGAATTACATTTTCATATCTTAGATTTAAAAATAAAAATTTTTATGAATTTCTAACTCGAAATAATTTGCAAATTTTCGTGATTTTTCCATATTTTGTAATTTTTTGAACTTTAAATGCTTAAAAAAAAAAATTGTGACTAACGATTTTTAATATTTTTCATCTGTCTTTGAAACAATATAGTAGGAGCCTTGTTTTAAATTTTCAAGTATTTTTACTCAACAAATAAATTTTTATTGATATTCATAAAAAAAAAAACTAATAAAATTGGAAACTGAAAATGTCCCTAAACAGTTCAATATAAATCAAAATATTTTGAAAATGTTATCGTGTATAGTAAATGCAAATATAAACAACCACTGAAAATTTCATGTATCTACGGTCATTTGTTTTAAAGTTACACCAAAAACCAAAATCGATTTTTTGGAAAACCGATTTTGCGTAAAAATTCCCGTTTTTCCTTAATTTTTATTTTGTTTTTCCCGGTGCTTTTGAAAACTACTGAGAAATTTAAATTTTGACCTCCCCAATGCACCAACGATATTCACTTTCCAATCGAACAAGATACTGAAGTTGAAAATCGAAGCATTATTTCGACTACTTATCGTGTACACAGACACAAAAAAAATAAAAAATAAAAAAAATAAAAAAAAAACACACATCATTGTAAAATCAATACATTCATCGTTTCACTCAGAATCTAAAATTTAAAATTGACCTCTATAGGCTAAAAAAGACTTTTTTTTTTTTATTTTATTAAATGAATATTTACAATCTGTATACATAAAATAATACAATAAGTAAATTATGAAAGCTTAAACGAAAAAAAAAGAAAAGAACATGAAGGCTTGAGAGAAGGCCCATTGACACCACTTCAAAAAGACTTATGAATTCAAAAGTTTCATTAGTAAAATGCAAAAAAAAAAAGTATGTGTGTTACCAGTACGCGCGCGGGAAGTTAAACTTCTTTTGAATGGTACACGTGAGTGAGTGAAAAAGAAAGAAAATAGACCATAGACATATATATTGAGTAATATCAAATTATGTCATATCATTATACAATTGAACCATCAGAGTATTATATACTATTTGAAAAATATAGGTGCGTTGGTCATTGTAAATGTGTCAAATATTAACTAAATATTAATTATTATTATTATTATTATTTATTAAATACTTATAGTATAGTCATATAATATGATGAAATTCATCGAGTTATATTTTGAATATACATAATTTGACTCACCTAAAAATAGTATATTATATTATATTATATTATATTATCGCGCACTCTGGAATATTTATTATATATGCGTTTTCGCTTTTATCAACTTGACTACGGAATATTGTTTATACCATGATAAAATAACATGGTATGCTGGCAACTTTATGATACGCATACCCCTTACCCCGCCGACCATCATACAGAGCTGTATCCAGTTCGCCGCTTTTCATTGGTTTTCATGATCAATATATATACATAGTGCATTATGAGGAGAACTGGATACAATGAAATGCGCAAACTCCGACGATATTCAGTTCGTTGCCATCATACCATGTTATTTTATCATGGTTTATACGTTTATACTGGTTTGTTTATAATATCATATGATATGTTTCCAAAAAGATTACAAAATATTGAAACGGAAAATATCAAAAACTTTATAAACAAAACATCGTACCGTTTTCGTGACGCGCGAGCGTCCGTGACGCCCGAGCGTCACTCTCTTTTTTTTCAATACCCCTCACATAAGAAGTTTAACTTCAAAAATTCAAAATAAAAGATTCAAAATTTGATTCGTCATACCTATAATGTAAACGTCTTAAAAGAAAGCTGCAATTTTCGATAAGTTAAAAGTAATGCAGTTTTTTACAAATTTACATCCCTATAGTCATAAAGTTTAAACAAAATTAACTTTTTAATTAGTTAATCCCTACCAATTGTTGTACTATGATACATATATAGGTATAATAACTAATAACAAATTTAAAAATTAATATAATATGTGCTATTTATGTAGGTACATCTAACATAGTCTAGGTTATATAATTAATATAGTAAAATAATTATTTGTTATATGTAGGTAATTTATAAGTAATTTTAAGGTGAAATGGAGAAGGCGTTATCATAAGTCTTTAACTGTACCCATAAATTATCTTACGCTGACGAAAAAACCGATCGGTATCATAATGGTACCTATTTATTTGCAGGCGTTCATGGTGGGCATCGTGTTCACGAAAATGGCACGTCCAAAACAACGAAGCCAAACAATCATGTTCAGCAAGAACGCGGTAATATGCCGAAGGGACGGGCAGCTGTGTCTTATGTTCCGCGTTGGTGACATGAGGGAAAAATCGCATCTGATCGGCACCACGATCCAGACCAGACTTATAAGATCTCGAGTGACACCGGAAGGAGAGGTGTTATCGCCACATGTTACGTATTTGAAGGTGAGCAACGAGAAAGAAACCGTTTACGAGTAAATATTGTTACAAAAAAAAAAAAAAATCAAATATTGAGTTGTTTTGTTTTGAACAAGTATTTTTGAGCGCATGAATATGACCCCACACCACTGTTTAGTTTTTAGTATAACAGTAAAAAATTAACAACCTCACGCCTTGAAGAGTTCACGTTGCTTAGGTATACCTAATACTCTAGTACCTAATAGGTACTTAATTTACAGTACTTTTTATAGTAGACTTTTCTCACATTAACAATATATTATAGTTATCGCTTGTCTGCAGATTATTTTTTAACAATTACCAGACACATAGATATAGGTTATAGCAGTAGGTATAGGTATAATACTGCAAGTAGGCCATACAATTTAAAACATAAACAACTAGAAATAATTTAATATGCAGACTTTCTTTTTCACATTTTGATGGGAAATTATCAATTTTTGATCTGTGTTAAGTTACATTTCAAAAAAAATGATTAATATAATGGTTCACTATTAAGTAGGTATAAAGTATAATATTTTTTTAGTAGTATTAAAAATAATATAAAAATCAAATATAAAAATAATTACTTTATCTACATGTATTTTTTACATTTCTCATGTATGTCCAATATAATATAATATATATATATTGTGTACCTATATACAAATATATAGCAACATCTATGAAATTCTTTTTTTTGAGAAACAATAATCATTTTAGGATATGCCTTGTGGCTTGACCAGATAATATCCTTGAAATTTCCATTAATAGAATTTCCATAATATCTATTATGATTAATGGAGAAATGTTTGAAATAGTACACATTCAAATTAACATTTAAAAAATGCAAAATATATTTATTAGCAGTTTTGGTCCAATTACAATATCACCTATATCTAAACTATTAGATTTGTCAGGAGTAAGAGTAGGTATTCAAAATGTTAATGTATCTGGAGTTGTTGAAATAAAAATACCATACAAACCATATGACATAAATTAATGACTAAAATTACTTTGATAAGACCACAGGCCACAGATGTTTTATTTATATCTTTGCGGTTACGAATCACTGCAGACGGCAGAATAGAATATGGTGTGGCTGACTTCAGTTATTGATAAAACAATACAAACGATACTAAAAGGATATACTTATCAAACACGACAATTTTTTATAAAAATACAGGAAATAGGAATTTTGAATTACTGAAAAATATTTTGATATCTTTGAAACATTCATGAATATGAATAAGAAATTTAAATTCGTTACAATTGGTGTATAAAAAGTGACAGATGAACTGAGTGGCTTAGGCCCTCCTCACCGCAAGCGGCGCCATCGCTGGACAGTTTTCGTCATATTTTATCATTAACAGAACATTCCGGTTTCAGATAAGCATAGACGACCACGATGAACGCGTATTTCTAATGTGGCCGACCGTAGCCGTACATAGGATTGACCAGGACAGTCCACTATACGGGCTGAGCGCTGCGGACCTGTTGAACGAGAGATTCGAAGTGATCGTGATCCTGGAGGGCACCACCGAGTCTACGGGGCAGACTACGCAGGCGCGGACGTCGTACATGGCGTCAGAAGTCCTGTGGGGCCACAGGTTTCGCCCGTTGGTCAAATATTGCAAGACGAAATTGATGTACGAAGTCGACTACTCGCAGTTCCACGACGTGTTCAATGTTGACACGCCACTGTGCAGTGCCAAAGATCTTGAAACGTACTTGATGATCAACGAGCCGAAGGTCATAGTATGATTCGTTAATCGTTACCACCTATGTTCAAGTATAATGCAAACATTCATATTATTTGAATTTCTTCAACTTTTAATTTTTTTATAAATGTGAAAGTGTGAAATCTACTTTATTAGTTAAATTTAAACAACATTATTGGCACGATTTATTTTTTTATATATATAATTGCTGTACATACAATTTTTCTAATTTAATAATCATGACTTTTATGTAACAATATATGTTTAGATGTAGCGAAAATTATTTTTTAATTATTTAACCAAACAAAGATAAAATTCTTAAAGTAGTTAAAGGATATACTTTTTAGACTACTAGTATTGTATACCTACTATATAAATATAATATGTATTAGTTAAATATATATTTAACATTAGATATATGCCGTGTCGTTGTTGCGGCCGATGACGGAGTGTCCTTGTGTTCAATAGTATCTCAAATGCCTAAACTAGTAGGTAGGTACCCCATATTATGAGTTATTATTAATTTAGGTTAATTGCAGATTTTTCACTATTGTTACCAATATTTCTAATCCAGACTCTAGCAATCACTCCTCCAGAATTTAAATTGATTAATGGTTATACTACAAAATATTTTATCATACCTAAGTGATTAAATATGTTTTTAGGATAATTCAATATCATTATAACACAAACATTAATTTTATTTTATTTAAAACGCGATAACTCCTACACATAACTTAACAAAATAAAATACATATTACTATATTAAATCTAATAAAAGTATGTAATCAAACACATTATGAACTAGTGAGTTGAGAATTTTAAAGGATGAAATAAGCTTAATTTAACTCGGGTGTAAGCGTATCAACTAGCTAGTGTCTACTACTAATAATTTTTAAGAGTACGGTTTTTGAGAGGTTAAAAGTATCCCTAACCCTGACTCTATCCGCCACCACTTTAACCTCAGCATATATATTATATTATACAGTAACTGCCAAGCACCGTTTATCAATATAATATTATTATTATTATTCTATGAAGAAAAATATATTAATATTATCTAATATCTATGCAAAACAACAAATATAGATAATCAATTAACACCATTACAAAAATATTGAATACATAGCCACATAGGTATTACTATTTAATTATAAAATATAATATTAAAGATTTTTATGGATCTATGATCATACATATACATATACATATACATCAAAAAATCAAATCAGTATTAACTCGACAATCTACAATGTAAAATAAATGTTAAATAATATAATATGTGGTAGACGACGATGATATAGAATAAATTAAAATTTCAGATATTGAAGAGAAATACAAATTACAAAATGATTTTTTTTTACAATTTCCCACTTTGAAACACAATATTAATAATTCTCACAGTGAAGCATCTCCTTGTCTACTGTCGAAATCATCATATAGATACCAGACAATCCCTAGAAATTCCCGACAACCTCTTCGAAGCCTTCAGCACAATCCAACATCAACAAAATCATCACATTTCTAAAACTTATTGATATGTACAACTTAATCTAGGGAAACTATTGTATTATTTATAAGTAACTACTAACTGTTTTTTTCAAGCTAATAACCTAGTAGTTGATGCTGCACCATGAATAAAAAAAAAAAATAATAATAATAATTCATAATATTATTATAGTGATATCTAGGTAAGTTGTTTTTTGTCTTTTTGTACACTTCTATACGTCTTGATGCGTTCAAATTTCTGCATTAATCCGTATTCGTTTTATAAAAATGCAAAAAAATAAATGATCATTATTTGTTCACACAATATATTATGTTCGTTCAAATAATAATAATTTTTAAATCACACCAATTACTTTTTCGACAGCAGTGATGGCTATTTCATATTATGGTGTCCTTTGGTAATGCCAAAATATGTATTCGCAAATCAATACATTTTTACATGCCCGTAGTTTCACTGCAAAATGTATTTGACATTTGTCCCTTTTTAATTATGCTCAAACTCCCATAAACATAATAATTAATAATCAAATGTAAGTGTATGGTGGTCTGAAGAATGATTTATTTAAAATAAATGAAAATGTACATCTCACCAATATTTCTTAAAATATTAGAATAAATATCAAATTATAATACTCATGACATGGAAAAAAAATTGTATACAATTACAATTATTGGAAAAATTATTAATTACATATTATTGTGAATAAATTGCCGGATTCCGACGAATTTAACGAAATATCTGTGTATGGCAAACTCATAATGTTTAAAAACACAAATAAACAATTTAAAAAAAAAAATAATAATAAAAATGACTGGAGATCCTTAAAATGGTTCTAACTCGGACGAATCAACTCGTTTATGTTCGTGTAAATTTTCTACAATTTGCCTAAAATTGTATTTTAATCATGTTGAGATTATTAGTACTTACTTATTAAAAACTAAACATTCAAAATTATTTTATTAGACCTAAAAATGCGTAGGTACATGGGATTTCAATAAATATACAACGATTATGCATAAATAAAAATTGTACAAAATAAAGTAGTAATTGAAAAATAAAAAAAAAAATCCTTAGTACTAAGTTCAAACAGATATAACATAATATTAGTTAAAAATGTATGTATGTATTATTATTATTATTATTATTATTTTTTTTTTTTTTGAGCAACTTAGGTGGAATATTCTGTCAAGTATAATAATATATGAGCTTATTGAAACGTATATAATATAAATTAGTTACGAGTTATTGTCTTATTGATTTAGGATCACACAAATGTTGAGTACCTATTCATAAGAAATCTCATTGAAATGTGCGGTCGTAAAACAATAGAATTTTTAATGTCCAGCCAATTTTACAAAGGAAGCATATATATAACTATAACCGTCTTCGATTTTTGTCGAATTTATATGATATATTGGCTAGACAAAAAAAATGTATAATTTAAACTGACTGGTACAGCTTGTACAACGTTTTGCCTAGTAATTGTAGTGGCCGGCGTATTGTGGTTGTTGTTGTTGTTGTCCATGGTAGTAGGGTCCCGATGGATACGAATTTGGTGTAGGGTATCCAGCGTAAGCATATTGTTGTTTTTGTGGATATACTGTAAAATATGAAACATAATTATCATCCATTGGCATATAGTTGGTATACAGTGATAGTGCCATATGGTTTTATTTAATAGGAGTATCATAAAAAACCTAAATTAAAAATGATTTAATGTTCACGAGTGCTATATTAGCTGAAAATACTATAGAGGTCGGTCAAGTTTCGTGATGCAACGTGTTTGAAAAAGTTCGGGTTAATTTTCGGTCCAAGGTTAATGTGCACACGATCCATCTAATTCCATTATTATTTTTATGCTACACTATTTTCCTATTATTGAATACCCACTTTAAATAATTGTGAACTAAGTTCTATTAGTTTTCTATTAGTTCACACAGTGCCCTTGATGTTTGTACACTATTAAACATTTATACTTCCTTCAAACATATTGTGTCACTGAGCATATTTTATTCTCTAGTAGAATATACGAGACACCGACACCAAATTGAGCCCTGATCGCTTGATTAATACAATATTTGAAAAATAACAATATTATATAATTATGATTAAAATATTTTGAGCACCTAATTTTAATAATCAGTTTTTTAATTGAATGCAACATCAATGAGTGATCATAATATGAATATAATATATGCGCAGCAATATAGAACACTGGAAATCACACTGTCATATTAAATAATTTTAATGGTAGTTAAATGTGATTTCCCCCTGGTGCAAAACATAAAATGGTGCACTTATATTAATATTGTACTGTTCCCCCGTCCACGTTCACAAAAAACATTTGGCGATTTAATGTCCTTCAGAGAATAAATGCTCAACAGCAATAAATTAGCTCCATCATTGGCACTTGTTAAATACCATATATTATTATACTAACCAGGCATTAAGTATTGCATGTTGAGAGCCTCTTCTCTTTCGCGTTCGCCTCGTAGACAGATTGCGGCGCCGGAAAATAGTATAGCAGACACCAAAGAAAATGCAACGCCAGTCCACGCCATGAAGAACGACCAATCGTAGGATATACGAGTGTTGTCCTTAAGAATCTGCACAAACACAATAACAGTCGATAAAATATAATAGTAATAAAATTATGTAAAACGTGATTGGAAAAATTAAATTATGAAGCAGTACGCGTAATTAAAATACCTGTCTATAATAATAATATATCAACGACAAATTCTTTAGCGCGGATATTTATTGTAGAAACACATCGGTATATGGGATGATTCATCAAAATATAATAATAATTAAAAATAAATAATTAATTAATTATTAATTATTAATAATTATTAATTATTAATAATTATTAATTATTAATAATTATTAATAATTAATAATTATTAATAATTTTAATATATTATATAGTCTTTAAAAATAATTTTACAGAAGTATAAAATAGATTTCATACTGGATATAGTATTTATTATACATGGTCCTGCATTTTTACAAATTATGAATGTTGATAGATTAATATGAATTACTAAAATGTTAAATCATCATAACCCCCATATCATTCTAACGCTTAATAATAATTGTCCTTAGTACACAAAGTTAAATAACCCATATTATACTGCTCGTTCAAATGTTGATAAGATATAACATCAACATTTTCAAAAAAATCATATTATTAACAATTTACAGGGAAAAAACGGATATTATCAATTGAAGAATACGCATTTTTGGATCACCACGACACCACAGGACACTCCTTAAGTGGTATAAAAATCAAGTATTTATAAATACCGATGTATATATTTAAAAGTTTCAAGAATCAGAATAAATTAAGTTTTTAAAGATTAAAAAGGGAGTGTGCAATTGTACATGAAGGTGAATCACTCTGTATGATATAGTTAAACAGTTAACTTACGCTATTCCATTGCTGGTAAAATTCGTCTCCTACTACACGTTCCTTTTCGTAGTATTCCACACCGTGCCAGAATCCCATAGCGCCAGCGCTAAGTAAACCTTAAAACGAAATCATTTTATCAATATTGTTGTTAATTTGTATACAACAACTATAATTATCAATATGACTCACATGCCAATAGCACTAAAATTGCAGTGGCCGTGATATTTCCGGGCGATCTTCTCCAGCAACCAGCGACTCCGGTCCAAAAAGCGATGAACATTACGAAAAAGCTCACTATGAATAAGGCGATTGTTGATCTGCCCATGTCTAAACGGGAGTAAGTGGATTAATTTTTTAATCTACAAACAATTGGAAATTACTGTAATTTGTGCAAACATACGTAATCTGGTCATGGCGTCTTCAGAAAACTCATGTGTCTGATTTTCCGGGTCCAGGAAGAAATAGTCGACATTCATACAATGCGTTTCGACAGGACTCAAATAGGTTTCAACTGAAAACAAATAAATAATATTGTAATCGACAAAGTAAATCGTAACTATTGTTATAGTGAATAGATCGTTATTTTATCTACAAATGATGACGATTTCGTTTTCATATTGAAGCACTATTCATCTTCTACTATTTTTTTAATCTCCAATGCATTTGTTTATTCAAGAAAAAAACAAATTGATAAATAAAGTAGTTTCTCATTCCATTAATTATCCATAACATCCATACATTGAGTAACACAATTTTTGTTTCTTTAGTTTTATTGTGATATTTATGTTAGAATCTAACCTTCCTTTCCAATATGGGTTAAAGTCGAAAGTAAGTTAATTATAATTCAACAATATTCATTAAACAAGTACGGGTTTTTCATTGTTCTCGATAGATATTGAAATGGCTATAATATACTATTAAATTATAGTATCTATATTCTATATTATAAGAATGAACAGTTATATATTATATTATGAACGTATTGATTTTACAATGATGTGTGGGTTTTTTTTTCATTATTATTTTTATTTGTGTTTGTGTACACGATAGTCGATAAGTAGTCAAAATAATGCTTTGATTTTCAACTTCAGTATCTTGTTCGATGGGAAAGTGAATTTAGTTGGTGCATTCAGGAGGTCAACATTTAAAATTCCTAGTAGTTTTGAAAACTACTTTTGAAAAATGTAAAAAAAAAGACTGAAAAAAAAAATTTATACCCATTATCGGTTTTTGCCAAAATCGATTTTGGTTTTTAGTGTAACTCTAAAACAAATGACCTTAGATACATGAAATATTTTGACTTGTTTTGAGCTGCTTACGAACATTTTCAATTTTCAATTTTTTAGTTTTTTTCCTATAATTAATGTCAATAAAATGTTATTTGTTGGGTAAAAATGCTTTAAAATGTAATACAAATGTTGTCACATATTTTTACATTATCAACTTAAAAATATTGAAAATACATACGTAAGATTTTATTTTTTAAGCTTTAAAATTCAAATTTTGACATAATTTATCAAATTGAAAAATTTACAAATTATTATTTTGTTAAAAATTTATAAAATGTTCAAATTTTATAGCTAAGAATTGAAAATTTAAAACGTTCACAATTTAAATGTTCACATTTGGACGAAATTAGATATTTAAAAGAAGAAGAACGATTTTAGTTTTGTGGAAATATTATTCTTGGATACTTGAAACTTCTAAAGTATATTATTATATACGAATATGATGATGAACAAATAATAATAATTCAATTTAACTGGCTACTTTATCAGGTAATAATAACAGCATAAATATAAATAAAATATCCTAGTCTGACAACCCGTCTCCACTCAGAATCGTTTTTCGTATACAATGATATTATATCATTGAATTCAAGTTTAACAACATCCATTACAGTCACCCACTTGTAACCTGCTGTACAGCAGAGTGATACCTAATTAAACCCATTTTTATACATAAACCCACCGGCCACCAAGTAATTCAATATATGTGTAAATAATAATAATATTAGTAATTCGTATTCATAAAATGTGCTATCCTAATATCCTGTAATATTTAGGTATAATTTGTTTTATGAATAGAAAAGAAGGGAAAGGTTTGTTATTCACTTATCGGAAAACAAAACGGTTATCGAATACTGGCACATACAGAATTTTTTAATTAAAATATCTATACTGGTGTTACTAGAAAATTACATTCTCAAAACAAAATAAAATCAAAATTCATACAGGAAGAATGATAGTTAAATAGTAGGTTAGTACATAGTACATTAGGCTTTATACGTATTATAATATTAATAAGATTACCTAATAAGATTTTAAAAAAACTATAAGAACCATCAATATTTGGCAATCACTTTAAATTATATGGATTGAACAACATGATATATTTTTAAAAAATAAATTAGAATTAATAATAGTATTTACCATAATATTATTCTCTTCCTTATTGTACATACACGACATTGAGAAAAGTAACAAGCGGGAAGTCGATTTTTATGCAGTATAAAATACTGCCGAACATATTTAGGATTATTCTCAACTTAACGTTGAACATAAGTAGTATATAAATATTGGATGAATTATTAAAATAAATACTGAGCAAGGTCACTAAAACAATGTAAAAATTTGAATTATTTAATAATAATAAAATGTATATTATATTTGTCTTTTTTCATATTATTAGATTTATCAATGTTTTTATAAGTAAATCAAAATGAGAATTTAGTATAGTATGAAGTATAGACGTACTTTTAGATAATAATTTAGATTTGAAAGTATTAATTTTTGCATAACCAACATGAAACATGTCGAACTGCAATTAATACCAATTACCTATCACCTTTATGAGGATGATCTGGCCAATATAAAAAATGTTTAATCAATTCAATAATAGATGGTCATTACGTTATATAATGGATATATTACGATTGCAGGCATTCTAATTGAAAACAATATTGTACCTATTCAAAGACACGTTTTCGTTACTTTAATACGTAAGAACGACGCGCGACGCGGAAAATTCGATGTAATGAATGTAGTAGAGAACAATAGGAATCGATATTTTTTTCAACAACGATAAGATAAGACTTAGGAATGGAACGAAGTCTAGAATCACGTCTTTGATTTTTTTTTATTTGTCATTAAATCGAGGAGAGAAATTACATTTTGTGTACCTACGATAATTGATTTAAAAAAAATAAGCGGCGGCAGTATTAGAAAACTTCGTGGTCGGTAAATATCGTCATCGGTCCAATCTATACCTACCTATTATAAACGTCATGTCAAGATAATTAGAATATGAAAACGAATTTACCACATTCGCTGCAGCTAGTCTTATGATTTCATCGAGTAATCAAGTTTGGGAATGGGAATGTAGGTATAATACCTGGTTAACAGCAATATAATGTAATATTTGGGTGATTCGATTGCAAACAGGTAAAATATTTAAAATACATATTACTATTTTTTAGATTATTTTGTTGGTTTGCTGAGCGAAAAAATAAAAACTGCGGAAGGACGTTAAAACTTGCGCGGTCACCTCATATTATATAGACAAGGAACTAACTGGTTTGAGAATTTATTTCTACAGCGCATCCCAACAATATTATAATAATAATAATAATTAATATGCAATCATTCGAAAGCCCGACTCATGGTTATTGAATAATAATAATAATAATATCACCATCGTCAAGCCAACACCGCGATGATCAAGACTCGCGTCACAAGTGTCGCAGGAGTTAGATTTCGAACTATAGTCGATTTGTTGTGTTTAGGTACACTGCGAACAATATTTTTGTCCATACTTATGCCGGGACGCATGAACAACAATCACTAATCATTTAAGGAATCAATAGTAGGCTAAAGTCCCTTAAACATGTGTTAGTGGCCCATTAAATGTTGTCAAACCATTAAATGAATACTTTTTTCATGCAACCCGGTACTAGTGGCTAGTATATATTTAATATTGCATAACAATATTATACGAGTTGGAAGATAATTGTACGCGCTTTCCTCTCCCGGAGGAAAAGGACTAACAGCATTGCCGAGTATTCCTTTGACATACTTGTTAATTACAATGTATTATTCTCGCCACTATCTCTGCGGCATTGTATAGTTCGTTTCGCAAATATGCCATGTGTTCACGCTGTTTTACTGTGCGGTCCGAAGCGCATCGAATGTCGGACCAGTTACCGACCACGGTATTAGTTGGGTACCTACCTAACCTACCTACTATATCTACCTACTTTTAGTTTAGTTTTAATTCGTCAAGTTCTGTACAATGAAACATCTATAATGTCTATAGAGGTTCGATAAATCGATCATGTGGCTCCGTATTGTGATCGTGAATACCGTCTATATTCGTTATTCGATCAACCCGCTCGCAATTACACACGATTATGTGGAATAGTTAAATTTTTACGGTTTTTATTGATGTTGTTACTGTCTATTTACTAATATTATTGATATTAAGTATATTATATGAGATACCATATATGATTAATATAATTAGTTATTTGTCGTAAAACTCGGTACAAAAAAAAAATAATTTTAAAACTCGGACATGTTTTTCTATAAATTAATTCGTGCGTGTAAACAAAATCTTGTTCTGGACAAGCCGAATTAAATTCGATGAAAAAATTAAGTTTTTCCAACAAAAATCTTGACCTACCAAAATTTAAAATTATATTGGAAATATACTTTTAATAAATAATCATATACCTAAGTGATATTATGTGTATGGTAGGTACATGTGTACCAACATATGTATAATTATGTAAGAAATATATTATTATAAGCTGTGTGTGTTTATTATTTGAATAATAAATTGTTCATTGTTCATTTTTTATTGAATACGTGGCCACGTGGGTCACTCGTTTTAAAATGTGAAAAGTCTAGATAGTAAAATTTAATTGATAAACTAGTTAATTGGTTTTGAATTTTTTTGGACAGTCTAACCAAAGTAGTGGAAAGTAGATAGGTACAAAGTTTATGATAAACACTTTCGTTGGGTTTCAAACACAAAGTAAAATCTATTAATAAGATGCTATTTTTTTTTTTGTTATGTAGTTATGTTATCATTATTATCGTTTCCCAGACACTTTGAGAAAAAACAAAACCGTTATTAGTGCACAATTTAACCGGACAAATAGTGTGAAATCACGAATCTCATACTACAGTAGGCGCTATGCACAACCACTTTCTATCGGCCGCTAAAACAAAAAGAGAAATATTGCATTCGTAGAAGACGAAGGAAAATAAAAATAAAAAAACTACCTCCGAAGTAATAATAATAATATTATTCCCTTGTGGATTTTGTTCTCGTCCTTTTCTCTCGAGTAGGTATACCTTTTTATGTGCTCGCACACACACGATGTGCTACTAAACGTGACCTTGGTTGACGTCCTACAGAAGCAATTATGGGGCACAGATGGAACCGGTTGCCGGTGAGCCCCTCACGCACGCGCATGGAATGTGGGCAAGTCTCTGCCGAGAACCGGTA